GAAAAAAAGGAAGAACCCCAACGAGATGAATTGGCCAAGTGGCAGCATCGATAGACTCAAGCATGGCAACAGTAGTGAGGTTGGCCCAGGATCGGGCAGTGTTTCATTCTGCTGTGCATAAGGTCACTATGAGTCGGTACCGACTCAATGGCACATAACAACAACAACATCCTTCCACATTTGATTCACTGTTGGCTACCTCCACTTGTAGCTCATTACCAGTAGTCATGCTACCATCAGCACCAATCCATGTGGTTTGACATTGGCCCTGCCCTTACACCCTGTCACCAGAACTCCAACACTCCACAGGCTCTAACCAAACTACTTAGTCTTTTCTCCCAGAGACACTGCCTTGCCCACAATAATAATAATAATAATAATTTGTATAGTTATGCAGAGTAATTCAGGTTCTCTTTGTCTCAAATTCCCATATCTCTAATACAATTGGGATAAAATCAGTAGGTTCGCAGAGATTTTCTCAAGGGAAATGCAGTCTTCCCCACAGACAAATTCTCCTACTGCATCAAGAAGAGACACAGCTTCTAATTGCAAAAATAAACAACCTAGGACACTATTTTAAAATTTTCATACAGATTTAATAAACAATTTGAAATTGGCCTATATTGTTTACCCAATAGATGAGTGCTCCAAATAATCAGGATTCTTAAAGTAATCAGGAACTTCTGAACAAAATTTCTGATCGGCTGACATCTACATAATTTATTAAAACAATAACAAGATGTCATTTTTACATGACACTTAAAGTTTTGAAAGTCCTGGTGTGGTACTGTAAAATAAGCACTGGTCTGCAAGGTTGGTTTGCTCCAAAAGGTCAACAGTTCAAACTCACTAGTCACTCCTCAGAAACCCTATACAGGGTTGCTATGAGTCAAAAGTGATATGATGGCACTTAACAAAATTTTGAAAACAGGTTAGTTTCATCAATCTTGAAAATGGAATGTTTATTAATTTCTATTGTTTTCTTAGTTTTAAATTAAAGTTAACAGATGAAACTAATCTTTCTGGTTTCATGGGTCTGGTTACCTTGCTGCTTCTAAAGATCAGTTTATAGCACAGCTAAACGATTATTTATTAGGGTGCGTAAATATTTAACAACATTTAACAAAATGATCTTTAGTGTCATGAGTAGAGAATTATTTATATTCTCATAATGCAATACTTGTAAATTTTGACATAAACAATTTACTGTTTGTTCCACATAATAAGTACTGGACTGTGAACTGCAAGGTCCATAGTTCGAGTCCACCAGCTGCTCCTCGGGAAAAAGAAGGCTTCCTGCTCCCACAAAGATTTCAAAAGCCTTAGAAATCCTATAGAGGGTTGCCATGAGTCGGAACTGATTCAAAGGCACTTAACAACAACACAAGTACAAAGCAACTGATCAAGACTAGCCAGTCCATGGAGTCCCTGAGCAGTACAAATGATCAGTGCACTCAGCTAATAACCAAATGGCTAGAGGGTAAATTCCACCCAGAGGTACCTCAGAAGAAAGACCTGGAGACGTGCTTCTGAGAAATCAGCCGCTGAGAACTCCATGGAGCACAGTTCTAGTTTGACATATATGCAATCGTCATAATTTGGAATTGACACCAGAACTGATGGTGGTGACAGTGAGGCAGCCCCACAAATGTGGCGATGACCCACAGGAGTAGCATTAGGCCTGGGCAAGCCACACCACAGAAAAGATTGCAAGTAGAGAGCTCTGGTTGGAATCTGGCAATGAGAGAGAGGCAGACATAGTATCCCAGAAGCCAGATGGAGGATGGGTAACCAGGAACCTGCATATATGGAAAGAGCTGCTCAGGAACAAACAAGATAGCAAATGGTGATAAAGTATGGTTAACTCCCAGTGTCCTCTTAGGTTCTTAATCTCAAACTACTAAGGGTTTCTGGTCACGTTTGTCCTTGAACAATTAGTGATCAACAGGAGTGAAGTGAAGAGGAAAATGGGAATGTGCCTGAAATATTATACATGCCATGTTTTAGTTAGCCAGTCAATTAACTGTAGACACGTGGTTGCTTCTAAATTTTGATCTCATAAACAAGGCTGTGAATATTTTGTGGCTAAATTTATTTACATATCTGTGCTTATTTCCTTAAGAGGAAGTGGAATAACTAGATATAGGATCATCTTCTACGTATTCCTAACGAGCCCTGGTGGTGCTGTGTGTTAGGTGTTGACTGCTAACCACAAGACTGGTTAGCAATCCACCAACAGCTCCAAGGGAGAAAGGGGAGGCTATCTGTTCCAGAAACATATACATTTGCATTCTGAGTCAGAATCAATTCTATTGCAGTGGATTTCCTTGGTTTGGGCAAGAATTACTAGAAGTGGAATATCTAGATTTTCCATGGCATCTAGGGATGAGATGAAATCCTAACTTTACTGACAATGTACTTTCCCCAGTGCCTTTGAGAAATCACATGATCATAGTCCTGTACTTTCTAAAATTATTTAATTTTACATCTGTTGATGTGTTCAACAATAGGAGAGGAAGTAGGAGTGAGTTAGTTGGGAGATGCTGAAATGGTGGAAATTCTCAAGTTAGAAGCACAAAGTGAACACTAATGGGTTTAAGAGGGAGGACAGGAGGGTATAAATGCACTTACACAGCCAACATACTCCTCCTCCAATTCACTCCTGAGAGAACCTCCTCTTGAGAACATGCTGCTCAAGGTACTGTTACATTTTATGCAGCTCATTTAAATCACTCTTCTATTTTTTTACTTTTTACTTTCTCTATTTTGCCACTTGTCCTCTCCTTTTAAAACCTACCTGCTCCTGCTTCAAAAATGGCATCATAATTTTTCTCATTGTCTCTGGGCTACCTAATTAACTGCATCTTTTCAGCAGTGATTTACAAGTAAGAGGCAAGAGTCCATTGCATAATACTGGCAAAGTTAATTATTGCAAATTCACTGAATAGTAACCTCCTTCATGTGGCACTGCAGGATAATGCATCGGATCGCTCCTTGGAAAGCTTATACAGGGTTGCTATGAGTCTGAACTGACTCAATGACACTTAACAACAATTTTATATGAGTCTTGATGTGGCACTGTAGGATAAGCAGTAGACTGCTAACTTACAAGGTCAGTATGTCAAACCCACCAGTTGCTCCATAAAAGTCCTGTATAGGGTCACTATGAGTCGGAACTAACTCAATGGCACTTAAAAACACCAACAACAATTTTATATGAAGAACATCAGAGGTGCAGTCGTTAAGCACTCAACTGGTTGGTGCTTAACCAAAAGGTTGGTGCTTCAAATCCACGAGCTGCTCCACAGGAGAAAGATGTGGCTGTCTGCTTCCATATAGATGCTCAGCTTTGGAAACTTGAGGGTACAGTCTACTCTTTCCTCTAAGGTTAATGAGTCAGAATCGACTCAGGGGGCCACGTGTTTTAGTTTTACAAGTGCCTATTAAGGCTCAACGGCACTTAACAACAACAACTACATTAAGGCATTACAGCCTCAGAAACACTAGGTTGTTTTTGTTGTTGTTGTTATGTGTCTTCGAGTTGGTTCAGACTCATAGCGATTCTGCAGAGGGTTTCTGAGAAGCAGCTGGTGGTTTTGAACTGCCAGCCTTGCAGTCAAACCGACCTTGTGATCCAATGCATTATCCTGCAGAGCCACACCAGGACTCCCAGAAACATTATACAGAGCCATTATAAGTCAGAATAGACTTGATAGCAGTGGATTTGGTTTGGTTTGGGTATTATGGCATTAAGGAACTCTGGTGTTGCTGAGGGTTAAGTATTGGGCTGCTAACCACAAGGTCAATGGTTCAAATCTACCAGTCCCTCCGCAGGAGAAAGATGAGATTTGTCAGAAATTGACATGATGCCAGTGGGTTTGCTTGAGTTTTTATTATGACATTGCCATTGTCTAACTATCTGCTGAAGATCACATCCCCTGAATTCCTAGTATGTAAAGTAGTGTTAACTTTTTGCAAAGAGGTAATGATCTGAGCTGCTTACCAAAAGGTTAGTGGTTTGAGTTCACTCTGAGGAGCTTCAGAAGAAATGCCTGGGGACCTACTTCTAAAAACATCCGTGACTGTAAACTCTATGGAGCTCACTTCCACTCTGACACACAGGGGTCAGAGTCCAAGTTAACTCAGCTACAAGTGTGTTCATTTAGGGGCAGAAGCAGTAGACTACTGGTTTGGGTTTCTCAACAACACACAGCAACAACATACCAAACATTTATTAAGTGACTGTATATGATGATGTCATAATATATGCATTAATGATTTCACTAAAAAGAGGTAAAAATGCCATCAGGAAATCAAACAGACCAAAAAGGGATATTAGAAATAAAGGTGAGTACACGGGTCACAAATGGCTGAGCAGATGGTCTCTTCCTTCAGGGGCAGGATGAGGCCATTTGTTCTTTTGTACAGGGGATGGTGCTAAGGGCCTGTGAGAACATGCCAGGGGCCATCAGAAATGATCCTGAGGAACTGAATGAACAACCAATCACTAAGTGACCTAAACTGCAAGAACTCCAGGGGCAGGGAGGGTGATGAACTGGTGATTTTCCTTAGGACATAGAGTACAATCAGTACTTGAAACTCTTCAATTTTACTTGATGGATCATCAAGTCAGCTCTTTTCTCTTCCTCCTTATCTCTCACCACCACTAAATAGGCTTACCCAAATTTCTAGCCACACAAAAATCAAAGTTACTGTGATTCTCCACTCTAGTCAGAAACTTTGGGCCCAGCATCTTTTTCTTTCCCAGTTATCTTCTCTGTTTACCCCCATTCCTATAAAACAAAGTTTCTGAGAAATGAAAATTAGTCCATTCTTTGAAGACTAGCAGACATTCCCTGACCTGATAAATCTAGAAACTCTAAATATGGAACTAGGTACTGGCCAGGTTGGCAGACCTTGGATTGATTACTGATTGTATTGTACATCTTCACTGGCCTTGAGCCTAGACATGGAGTCCCAGATACACAGGTCCTCTGGCTCAACACCCTTCACCCTGCAGCTAACATCTGACAATGAAGAATCCGATGCCCCCAAAGACACACTGGTGATGTCTGGAGTCTCTGGTGGTGCAAATGGTTAACAACTCAGCTGCTAACTGGAAGGCTGATTGTGTGAATCGACCCGGAGGGACCCTGGAAGAAAGACCTAGTGTTTACTTCCAAAAACTCAGCCACTGAAAATCTTATGGAGTACAGTTCTACTTTGACACATGCAAAGTTGGAACAGAACCAAACACTGACCAGTTCTGCGCTAAACTCACAATCATTGCTACACTTGAGCTGATTGCTTCTGCCACTGTGCCAATCCATCTCATAGGGTCCTTCCTCTTTTTCTCCAATGCTCCACTTTACTAAGAATGATGTCTCTCTCCAAGGGCTGGTCCCTCCTGATAATATGCCTGAAGTGTGAGAGACAAAGTCTCTAGCTGTACTTCTTCAACACTTTGGTTTGTTCTTTTAGCAGTCCATGGTACTCCTAATAGTCTCCTCCAACACCGTAATCCACATACATCAACTCTTCTACAGTCTTCTTTATTAATTGTCCAATTTAACATGCTTATGAGATTATTAAAAATCATGGCTTGGGTCAGGTGCACCTTAGTCCTCAAACTGACATCTTTGCTCTTGAACCCTTTAAAAATGTCTTTTGCAGCAGATTTGGCTAATGCAATACTTCATTTGATTTCTTGACTGCTGCTTCCATAAGTGTTGATGACTGATCTGAGCAAAATGAAGTCTTCTACAACTTCAATGTTTTCTCCATTTACATGGATATTGTTTATTGGTCCAGTTGTGAGGATTCCTATTTTCTTTACATTGAAGTGCAACCCATATCGAAGGCTGTGGTCTTTGATCTTCATCAGGAAGTATTTTAAGTCTTCTTCACTTTCAGCAAGCAAGGTTGTAGGATCTGCATATCACAGGTTGTTAATGAGTCTTCCTCAAATCTTGATGCCACGTTTTTCTTCACATAATCCAGCTTCTCAAATATTTGCTGAACACATAGATTGAGTAAGTATGGTGAAAGAATACAACCCTGGCACACAACTTTCCTAATTTTAAACCATTCAGTGTTGGCTTTTTCTGTTAGAACTACTGCCTCTTGGTCTATGTACAGGTTCCTCATGAGCACAATTAAGTGTTCCAGAATACCCATTCTCTGTAATGTCGTCCATAGTTTGTCATGATCCACACAATCGACAGACTTTGTGAAGTTAATAAAGCACAGATGAACATCTTTCTGGTATTCTCTGCTTTAAACCAAGGTCCATCTGATGATGTCAGCAATGATATCCCTCGTTCCATGTCCTTGTCTGGCTTGAAACTCTGGAAGTTCTCTGTCATTGTATTATTGCAGCCATTCTTTAATTATCTTTTAAATTTTACTTGCATTCAATATCAATGATATTGTCCAATGATTTTCACAATACCAGTCACCTCTCTTTGGAATGGGAACAAATACAGATCTCTTCTAATCAGTGGGCCAGGTAGCTGTCTTCCAAATGTCTTGGCATAGATGAGTGAGTGCCTCCAGTGCCGCATCAGTTTATTGTATGACTTCAATTTGTATTCTATCGATACCCAGAGTCTTGTTTTTTGCCAATGCCTCAGTGCACCTTGGCCTTTTCCCTTCAGTATCACTGGCTCTTGATCACATACCACTTATAACGGTTGAACAAGGACCATTTTTCTTGGTACAGTGACTATGTATTCCTTCCATCTTCTTTAGATGATCTGCATCGTTCAATATTTTGCCCACAGAATCCTTCAATATTGTAAGTCAGGGTTTGATTTTTTTCTTTAGTTCATATACTTCATTTCAATGATTGCAACTCCTTTCATGTAGCATCCTTTATCTCACTTCCTCCCTATGATTCTTGTTTCCATTCTGCTTTCTTTCCCAACCCTTCTAAACTTTGTCCTTAGATAAATACCTGAAGCATTTCTTAACTGCTCTTGTCTGCCCTCCTCCAATCCATTGCCCAACAATCGCTTTTAGAAATATTTCTAAAGCACAAATTTTCCCATATCTCTACCCTTCTTGAAATACCACACTGGCTCCCTGTTGATTTCAAAGTCTTCCTCTTGACATAACTTTTAGAATTCAGACCTAGCCTGCAAATCCATTCTCCCTCTCACCTCTGTTCCCTGGATGAATCCAGCATCAGTTTGAAGAATTTACTGTACCCTGTCACACCTCCAAACGAGGCCTGGTAGCATCAGGCTACCAACTGCATTGTATACAGTTCAACTCCACTGCTCCTCTGTGGGAGAGAGATGAAGCTGTGTATTCCCATAAAGATATAATGCTGCTCATAGAGCAGCTGAGGACTCTGGACTCATGGAAAGAGAAAGGCTATATGCTGGTGGCCATAAGGTAGGCTTACAGAATGTGCCCTTTGGTTGTTTAAATATTATACGTTCCTGAATGTTTTAATGTACATCCAAAAAAAAAAAAACCCAGAGGGAATAGAAGCAAATACTGTTGAATGATGATGCATGGAGGGAATCGTAATAATTGCAATGAAATGAAATACAATAGGATGAGTGTAAAATTGATGTTCTCCCATGTAAACGATCACTCAATTCACAATAAAAACTTTAAAAAATATATTTACAGTCTCAGACAATGTAGGAGCAGTTTTATTTTGTCCTATGGAGTTGCTATTAATGGGAACCAATTGAATGGCAGTGAGTTTGGCTTTAGGTTTGGGTCGCATCTTCACGCCCTTGACCGTGCCTTTATCCTCTATCCTTGTCCCTTGTACCTTTACCTGGTTGACTTATACAAATCTTTATAACCAACTCAGGTATCACTGTCTCCAGGCAGTCTCCAGCAAGAAAGTACAGAAAGCAGTTCTCAAGTCATGTCGGTAATTTAAATTTTTCTAGTCAACAAATTTTAAAAAGGAGAAATTGATTGAATTCATTTTTAAAAATACACTCTACTTAATCAGAATATCCCAAATAATGTCATTTCAACATGTAATCAACATTTTAAAATGATTAAAGAGATGCCATACTCTTTTAGGAGGTCTGCTGACTCAATGTTAAGCACCTGACTGCTAACCAAAGGCTGGCCGTTAAAATCCAGCCAATAGCTCCATTGGAGAACAACCATCTGGTGATCTGCTCCCTATAAAGACTACAAGTTAGAAAATCCTATTGGACAGTTCTACTCCATCACATGGGATCGGTAACACTTGAAATTGACTCAACACCACCTAACAACAACAAATGTTCTTTTATTCCTAACCACATCTTTAAAATTCAGTTTGTACATTATACTTAAGACACATTTCAATTAGGACTAGCCACATGGTTTCCTCTAGTGAAGCAAAACTCTTCATTCAAAATTACCTCGAATTATCTTTCACAAAACCAAAAACCAAGCCCACTCACATCAAGACAATTCCAATTCATAGCAACCCTATAAGATAAAGTAGAACAGCTCCATAGGGTTTCCAGGATTGTAAATCTTTACAGGAGCAGAAAGCATCTTCTTCATCTTGTCCTACGGAGTTTGAACAACAAAGCTGGGTTTGAATGACCAATCCTGCCATCAGCAGGGCTCCTTTCTGTAAGAAAGAAAATGTGTAAATACCAAGTAGACTGCAGCCCTGCTTTCCTAACACTCTTCCCTCTCAAGTCTGTTACAGAAAGCTTCGCCAGAATGATCCACGACTTGCAAGTGTCACACCTGACAGATGGTGTTATTCAGAGGAGCAAGAGAATGATTCTGGATACTCTGGGTGTTGGACTCCTGGGGACCACTACAGAAGTGTTTCACAAAACCAGCCAATATAGCAAAGTAAGAAGTTCCAAGTCCTCTGTAGAGATAAAACTGAGTGTGTACACATGCCTAAATACCCAGAGAAGTGTGCATGTGTTCTGTTTACTCTACTGTTTTATAGCTAGCACTTGGTATCTATGGCATTGTTGTATAAAGTTCCATGTTACACTATCTTAGATATACTATTCATCCATTTCCCTAATTAAGTCACTGTCATAGGACCATCACTACTCATAACTCACAGTTTAGTCTTAATATGACTAAGACCATATTTTCACCTGAGTCTTAGATGCAATAGCACCTACCCAGCCCGGTTTGATTCTCTAGAGAAGAGAATGGTAGGACCAGAAGTGGGCATACATGAGAGAGAGTAGTGGTCTCTCTCCAGAGAATGCACTTGGCATAGACTATTAGCTCACCTCCCCCCAGTAACTCTCTGAGTCTAAAAGGGAGAATAAATCAGAAACACACATTCAGGCTCTTTCTCTGTAGAACTTCTGTGTCAAGAGGCAGGATTGAGCAGCAGCCTGTCCTCTCCTTTCTGTGGGAAAACTGGATTCTTCAACAAAGAATAATCCATTGATTAAGACTAGAATCAAATTAAGAACAAAAATAAGACCCATTAATAAATGCCTATGATGAAGAACAGTTATTGAAATTACAAACTGGCATATTGTGTACATTTTCTCTATCATTTCTTCTTCTTTTCTTCCAGATCTACTCTTCCAACATATCCAGCACTGTTTGGGGCCAGTCAGAATTCAGACTTCCACCTGCATTTGCTGCTTTCGTTAATGGAGTAGCTGTAAGGAAGTTTACATGTCTTTGGGACTATTAGATTATTTTGTGATTACAATAGTTTTAGAGACAGGAAATATCTCAGGAATGACTCAACTTACAGGCTTTATAGAGGAGATCATGAAAGGTCAGAGCGGTGAAGTGGCCTGTTCTCTTTCATGTGCAGTAATTTCAGTTTCCATATTTCTACAGCAAATTTATGTTTTTAAAACGAATTGTGAAATAGAAGAAATAAGACAGAAGTTTTAGATAAAAACACCCCCCAAAAATCCCAACTCTAAACTTTGCATACAGACAGATTTTGTTATTGTTGGTGCAATCGGGTTGGCTCCAAATTATACACACCCAACTCTATACACACCCGACTCTGTCTATACACCCGACTCTCTACATACACCAGAACAAAACACCATCCTCACAATTGCTATGTTTGAGCCAATTGTTGCAGCTCCTGTGACTATCCACCTCGTTTAGGGTCTTCCTCTTTTTTGATGGCCCTCTATTTTACCTAAATATGTACTTTGTACTTGTTAGCAGGAGGTGCATCCTGGTAATAAGTACAAAGCATGTGATACAGAGTCACACCACAATAGTTTTTAAGTGGCATTCTAGCTGTACTGTTCCCAAGACAGATTTGTTTGTTCTTCTAGAAATCCATGATACTTTTCATTTTCATTGCCAACTCCTTACTTCATATTCATCTATTTTATTCACTGTCTACCTTTCATTTGTATATGAAGCAAGTGAAAATACCCTGGCTTGGGTTAAGCACACCTTAGTCCTCAATGTGACATCTTTGCTCTTTAACACTTTAAAGAAGTCAGATTTGATCTACGCAATACGTCATTTGATTTCATGACTGCTGCTTCCAAGAGCATTGATTGTGGATCCAAAGAAAATGAAATCTTTGACAACTTCAATCTTTTCTCCATTTATGATGATATTGTTTATTGGTCCATTTGTGAGAATTTGTTTTCTTTATACTGAGATGCAATCCATACTGAAAGCTGTAGTCTTTAATCTTCAACAATTAGTATTTCTGATGGTGGTGGTTATGTGCCGTGGAGTCAGTTCCGATTCATAGAGACCCTGTACAGGGTTTCCTAGGCTGTAAATCTTTAGGGGAGCAGAAAGCCTCATCTTTCTCCTGTGGAACAGCTGGTAGTTTCGAACTGCTGACCCTGAGGTTTGCAGCCTGATTCTAGTCCTCTTCATTTTCAGCAAGGAAGGTTGTGTCATCTGCATATTGCAGGTTGTTAATGAGTCTTCCTCCAATCCTGACACAATGTTCTTCTTCATATAATCCATCTTCTCAGATTATTTGTTCAGCGTATAGACTGAATAGGTATGGTGAAAGGTTACAATCCTGATGCACACCTTTCCTGATTTTAAATTACGACTGCCTCTTGGTCTATGTACATGTTCCACATGAGCACAACTAAGTATTCTGGTCATCCATAGTTTGCTATGATCCACACAGTCAAATGACTGCACAGTCAATAAAACACAAGTAAACATCTTTCTGGTATTCTTTGCTTTCATCCAAAATTCATCTGATATCAGCGATGATAGACTTCATTCCACATCCTCTTTGAATACAGTTTGAATATCTGGCAGCTTACAATGACTTTTTAAATATCTTCAGTAAAATTTTACTTGCATATGATATTATTCAATAGTCTCCACTTGCCGTAGGGTGGCATTTCTTTGGAATGGACACAAATATGGATCTGTTCTAGTTGATTGGTCAGGTAGCTCTCTTCTAAATAGACTATTAAGTGTTTCCAGCACAGTCTCAGTTTGTTGAAACATTTCAGTTGGTATTCCATCAATTCCTGGAACCTTGTTTTCCACTGTGCTTTCAGGGTAGCTTAGACTTCTTCAATACCATAAGTTCTTAATCATATTAGTGTTAAGGTCTCACTCCTAACAACCCTTTGTGAGGTGTCCGAGGATCTCATAGTACCTCCTGAAATGGTTGAACTTCAATTAATTGTTTTTGGTGTAGTGACTTTGTATTTCTTCTACTTTCTTAAGATATTTCCTGTATTGTTCAATATTTTGTCCATAGATTCAATATTGCAACTTGAGGTTTAAATGTTTTCTTCCGTTCTTTCAGCTTGCGAAATGCTGAGCCTGTTCTTCCTTTTTAGTTTCCTAACTGCAGGTGTTTCATTATAATGTTTTATTTTTGTCTTCTCAAGCGACCCTTTGAAATTTTCTGCTCAGCTTTTATTTCTTCATTGCTTTCGTTTGTTTAAGGGCAAGTTTCAGAGTCTCCTCAGACATTCACTTTGGTCTTTCTTTCTTTTTTTTTTTTAACTTTTTATTGTGAAGTTAAGGGTTACAGAACAGATCATTAGTTTGACATTCAATAAATCACATACTTTGTTTCCTATCCTATTACAACCCTGTCAATGTAACATCACTTATCCCTCTTCCTCCCTGTTTTGTTTTAATTCCACCTTCTTGTCAAACCCTCCTGAGTTTTGTCCTTAGGTAAATGCTACCCTTTCTATCTTGAATGGTTGATCATTGCATGGTATGCATACCTCACTAGTGTTGTTGTTCTTCCTACATGCCTATCTACTGCTTGGTTGAAAATTGATCCACAAGGGTGTGTTCAGTTTCAGACCTGAAGGGTGACCAACAGCTATCATCTTAGTCTCTTTCTGACCAGTAAGCCTGGTCTGTTTTTACAATTTTGAGTTTTGTTCCACATTTTCTCCCACTCTATCCAGGGCCTACTAATGTGATCCCGTTAGGACAACTGGCAAAGTAGCTAGGTACCATCCAGTTCTTCTGGTCTCAGGGTCATGGAGACTGATGTTCATGTGTTCCATTAGTCCATTGGACTCATTGATCCTGAGAATCTTTCATTTTCATTACTCTTCGTTCTTCCACATAGGAAGAGACCAATAGTTTTACCTAAGATGGCCACTCATGAGCTTTTAAGATCCTGGTCACTAATCACAAAAGTATCTTTCATGTCTTTTTTGACCTTTTGTCAAAAGGTCAAACCTGACCTTTTGATTTCTTCCTGAATGATGATTTTTATGTCATCCAACAACTCCTATGGTTTTAGTCATTGGGGTTCAGTGCATCAAATCTGTACTTGAGATAGGCTCTAAATTCAGGTGAGATATATTCAAGGTCATACTTTTGTTCTGGTGAATTTTTTTTTAATTTTTCTTCAACTTCAACCTGAATCTGCATATGAGGAATTGATGGTCTGCTCCACAGTCAGCCCCTGGCCTTGTTTAGAGCGACTCCATTGTCTCATTCCGTAAATTTAGATGATTTGATTCCTGTGTGTTCTATCTGGTGAGGTCCATGTGTATAGTCACCATTTATGTTGTTGAAAAAAGGTATTTGCAATGAAGAAGTTGTTGGTCTTGTAAAATTCTATCATGTGATCTCCAGCATTGTTTCTATCACCAAAACCGTATTTTCCAGCTACCAATCCTCCCTCTTTGTTTCCGACTTTCACATTCCAATCTCCAATAATTATCAACGCATCTTGATTTTATGTTGAATCCATTTGAGACTGCAAAAGTTGGTAGAATTTTTATCATTGGCTTTGGTGGTTGGTGCTTAAATTTGAATAATAACTATATTAACTGGACTTCCTTATAGGCATATGGATACTACCCTGTTCTTTAAGATGGATCTTGAAATGCTCATTATGATGATGAATGCAACACCAATCCTGTTGAATTTGTCATTCCCTACATAGTAAGCCATGTTGTTGTTAAGTGCTGTTGAGTCGATTCTGACCCATAGCAACTCTGTGTAGGGTTTTCAAGGAGCAGCTGGTGAGCTTGAACTGCCAACCTTACAGTTCAAATGGCTTTGCAGTCTGGTGCATTAACCTATAGCGCTACACCAGGACTCAATAGTAAACCATGATTATCCAATTCTAAAGGGCCAATACCTGGCCATTTCAACTCACTATTGCCTAGAATATTAGTCTTTATGTGTTTCATTTTATTTTTGATGACTTCCTATTTTTCTAGATTTATACTTCATATAGTCTGATTATTAATGAATGTTTGAAGCTGTTGCTTCTCATTTTGAGCCATGCCCCTTGAGCAAATGAAGATCCCAAAAGCTTTGTTCTATCCATGTGACTAAGGTAGACTCTACTTTGAGGAGGATCTATTTCCTTCCTTGGCCGTATTTTGAGTGCCTTTCAACCTGAGGGGCTCATCTTCTGGCATTATGTCAACCAATGTGCCATTGCTACTCAAAAGGTTTTCATGGGGCTCTGATAGCGTAGTGGTTACGAATCGGGCTGCGAACCTTAAGGTCAGCGGTTCGAAACTACCAGCTGCTCCGCGGGAGAAAGATGAGGCTTTCTACTCCCGTAAGGATTTACACCCTCGGAAACCCTGTACAGGGTCGCTATGGGTCGGAACCGACTCGACGGCACTTAACAACAACAACAACAAAATCCCTCAGAAGTGGACCACCTATGCCTTCTTCCTAGTCTGTTCTTAGTCTCGAAGCTCCACTGAACCCTGTCCACCATGGGGAATCTTGCTCATATTTGAAGTACTAGTGGCATAGCTTCCAGCATCACAGCAACATACAAGCCACCACAGTATGGCAACTGACAGGGAAGACAGAGAGGCAGGTAGGTAGAAAGAGAGATAGCAAAGGATATAAAACCCAATACCAAACTATTTTCTCAATTTCCTCTTCCTTCTTCTGTTTATGGCTACTGCCACAGTGACCAGTTACTATCGTGTGACAGTCTATTCTTCCATTCAACAGTAATTTATCTACTTACATGTAATATTTTATATTCTAGAATGGCCTAAAGTATCTAAAGTTTCTGTACTGAAAATTAGTACTTTTATCCTGACAGTTTTATGCTTTTCTGTGTTTTGGGGACAATCTACAAGATATAATTTGGCCATGAACAGGTTGGAATTTCTGAGACATTTTTATGGTTATTACACTAGCTCAGAATATTCAAAGTTAAAGGATATTGAAAGTGGTGCA